CTGCTAGTCGTTCTCACTCCTAGCAGCTGCAGAGAGTTGTGCCTTACTTTGGCTCAAGACCGGACTAGCGTATCGCGTGAGTAAAACGAAGGCTCTGTCCGAGCGTTGTGAGTAGCAGTGCTTTGCCAAGGGTTTTGTTGAACTCCGGACTGTCGTTCGGTCTTTTTCGAAAACCAATTTTTCTAGCACGACAGCTGACATCAAAAAGCGTTGTTACTCCAAAATAGGACGTTTGGTTGCTGTTGGAAGAGTGAAGACAGGCTGCTTGCACTTGGACTCTGATCCGATGTTTCCAATCTTTGGCCGTGTAGCTTCTTTGAGCGTTACGGAACGAAAAGTTGCGCTGAAAGGCACGAAATCTGAGCATCACGCAGAAGTGAGTCTTTTTCAGTGTGTTGTTGGAACGTTTGGCAGCCATGTCCCTCAAGAAGCTTTTTCAGGTGGCGCGTTGTCTCTCGATGAAAAAAAGGGGCCGACATGCAGAAAGAGGTTTACAGTCTCTGATGTGGAAGCGAAAGGTGGACAAGCGAAAAAACTTGCGCCGTGATGCACTTTTTTCGGATGATCGAAAAAGAAATTTCCCAGTTCCCGTCGCGGTCTTTGCGGTTCTTCGCCGGTGCGCGGACTGGATATCTTATGCAATGGCTGCTATTTTGGTTGCAAAAGCAAATGAAGGAAGTTTGACAAGACTTTCGAACATAAAAGAGCCCAAGGTTCGAACAAACAGTTGGATTCCATGTCTGCAAGAGAACACTGTGCAAGTAGACAGTGAATGCGAAGAAACTGCGTGCGAATATTCGAGCATGAGCCATCTTACACTCTAAAAGAGCTTCTCGACAGCAAAGACTTTGCCGATTGTGAAACGGGGCAGTTTCGATTTGCTGAAACAAGAAAGAGGGGTGTATGAAATCGTAGTTGGAACGGAAAACATGACTGATGCGCCGTGGTCACAAGCACCTTGTAAGTTGTTGGAACATTGAGCCTGCGAGTAGCATCTTGTTGTCATCTTCTGCAGACAAGGATGTCTCTGAAGGTTAGAAGTAGCACAGGCCGTGGCCTTGTAACAGATTCATGTCATAAACTTCGCTTCTGGAATAGCTTGTCTGCGACCGACCCACGTGTACGTCGGACGGATTGATAATGGTGTCAAATCGCACGTTCCAATCTCCTCCAAAAATAATGTGAGAGGCGTTGGGGTGATAGAGTTTAAATCTTACAAGGCTTCACATGACTAGCTATTACGCTGTCCGCATATGCACTTACAGTATGATCCGTGCCACCAGTAAGGATATATGAGCGACGTGTAACATGTATGTTTTCTCAACATCGATGGCAACGAAACACGCATGGGTAATCACATCTGGAGACATCAGCTCAAGCCAAAATAACATGGCAACTGTCATGGTGGAGCTCTGTTCCTGAAAATCCTCAACCGTCCCATACGACTCGTTGTTGAACCTTTATGTTGTGCAACAAGACCAACATATGACATGAGATACCGACAGCTGATTGGCTAGAACGGCTGTTTGCCGGAAGATGCCGCAATGCTGCATGATTTTTCTGTTGCAGGGACCTTGAAAGCATAGTTTCGTTGTATGTGTAATCAATCTGAGCCTCCTGAGTCACAGGTGTTAGTGGTTTGCAAAGATTGTTAGCTACGTGTGCAAACTTTACGGTGTCGGACGTTGCCATGCCGATCACCACCCATGGTGCAGACCTAGAAGTCGTGCGCAAGGATGGGCTGTCAGTCTGCATCATGGCATGTCGTTTGGGAAAAGCGCCTCGCTCCACATTCTGCGCTTTGGGAGGTTCAAGATGTCATCGAACAGTACGAGGCGAGCTAGTGATTTTCTGTGTTTTCTGCCGCCTTCTGTGTTGAGCTCTCTGTCGAGCAGGCGGCAGCAGCACGATTGAAATCCATGAGCCAGAAGCCTCAGGCTGTGCAGTATCGACCAAACCAAGCCGTTCAGCAGTGACCAGTCGTAACGGCAGGTTGATGGCATCACTGGATATCACGAGTTTCCGCAGCTGGCAGAGGATTGCTTCAGTCCGCTTTTGATAGCATTCTCTCCAGTTGTTCGTATGAAGAAATATGCGAAGTGCATGTGTGCTGCTGTTGTTGATGTTGTTGTTTCTGTGCATGCCAGGAGTACGAGAGAAGAGCTCAGCAGTACCGAGAGGCGGCTGAGTCGTACAGTTGTCGTGATTGTGCTGTGATCTGTAAAATGCCAGGAGCCTGGAGTACATTTTGGTAAATCGTCTGAAGTTTAAGCATTGCCAACTTGGCCAGGTGGCGAAGCTATTTCAGAAGCCGCTGGATATGCCGCTGTCCCCTAACCAGCAGGCGTTCAGTTCTGTTTGTCCATGCTTCTTTTTGTTCCAGCTGGGCAACCTGTCAGTCTGCATGCCGCTGCATGGCAATGTTACGTTTTCGACTTGCAGCCTGCTCCGGGTTCGAAGTCTTGTAGACAAAGCAATATGTCTGACAAACAGAGAAAAGCCAGGGTTCAGAAAGTGATGAAAGCTGTCCCCATTACAAGAGTGGATTGGCACTGGGCCCAATCCTCGCGGTCCACAGTTCGATTCCAAAACTCTCCGGAATTCAGCAAAATCCGGCACTTGGACCCCATGAAGCCCTATGACCCGAAGCCCCAAGAGATCATGTGCCAGGATGCGCTGCTACGACTGTCCCTGGGGACCACATACGAGCCGCAGCTGGGCCACACCCAGCGCATTTTCAGGGTATGTCGATGCGTGGACAAACTCGGTTTTGAACCCCTCTGCACCGGAAATCCTACACTGTGAACCAGCTGCAGATCAACATAGGATCACATACCTCCTCGCATAGTTTCGGCCTTGCGAGTACAAGAAGCAAGGAGAGGTATGCAGCCATACATGACACTCAGGGCAGCGATGGTCACCACGAAAGCTTCGCAAGGATTGCAGGCGGCATCAACTGTCCAAAAGTTTGGTGCCACTAATCTATGGTAGTTTGGTTTGTTTTGGGGGTGAATCAATCGATTTTCAGAGTTGTTGTGCACGGGCTTGCAGTTGTGACTGCAACTACGTAACTACGACCCTCTTTGAAAGAAGTGTTTGGTGTCCTGTGGAATAGAAACCGTTAATAATGGGGAGGCGGGGAAGCTGGCTTGAATTCAGCTTTCTGTGCTGAAACAGTGTTCCATAAGCTGTCACAAGTTGCGAAACACTGGTGAGTTGATGCGTTCTGGTGTTGCAGCTTCTCCGTGAGGAGATTGCTCACGCTTCGGAGCCCGTAGTATCGTATCTTTCTTCAGCCTAATCTACCCTAAACCCTAAATCCTAAAAAAAAAACCCTAAATCCTAAACCCTAAACCAGCCTTCAAGACTCTGACGAAGCAGCGGAGCCCTCTCGGAGGCCGCGCGTGCTGCGGGTGGCGCTGTGGTCTCCAGCTCAGAAGGTAGACTTCATAGTCAGACTGCAATGAGAGGTTTCTTCAACCGAGGTTGGTACTCTTTCGCCATCTTTATTTGGATAATGAAGCAAGTTACATCACTGCTGTGTCGTTGCCTGTGGCAGCGAAGTTGACAACGACGATGGTGAGGAGGCGACGATGGCAATAAGATGGTGATGGTGACGGTGATGATGATGATGATGACGATGATGGTGATGACAGACAATGATGATAACGATGATAGGTATGTTCGTGATACAAAAATGGATGACGTGGACGATGATCACGCTTAGAATCATCATCACCGCCATGACCATCATGTCCGTTATTCCTTTTCATCGTAATGATCATCGTCGAATCGACACATGGCCATGGCAGCAACATCGTTTTGGATCCACATCGTCAGGGCTGTTGCCAGCTTGTCAGTACTTCGCATATGCTGATATGCAGTTGCCAGTATGAATCACTAATCGCGGTGATCACAAAGCAGAACCGCAGGAACAGTACAAGTGGTCGAGTGCGGTTGCCGCGTTGATATGTGTTCCGTCCATTCTTACCAACTGCTATTCTTTGTACCACGATAGCGATGATGGTGATAATGTTGGCAGCACTAGGGACGGGGGAAGTTGTTTTTGTTGTTGTTGTTGGTGGTGGTGGTAGTGCTGAGATGCTGTTGCTCACTAGGAAAAGGATGGTTGGATTTTACCATCATGGCCAGCATGCTGATTTTGATGCTTGTGATTGTGTTTAGGACTATGACCAATGCGGATGCCCCTGACACTGGTGATGATGTAGTCGATGATGTAGATGCTTTCGTTCTTTTGTCGTATCTCGCCAGAGTGCGAGAGGGAACCTTCGCCAAGGGCTGCCTCTGACCTGGCGCAGCTCCACGCACCTGCACACTCGCGAGAAAAAGGTTTGCGTTTTCTCCGTCCTCCTTGCTGGCATTTTCCTTCCTTGCTCATATGCCCTGTCATAGGCATGGCATGGTGCCGCGTTAGATTTAGTCCTTACGATGCCGGGTGGTACTGCGCAAGGTTGAAGTTCAGAATGGCACGCGCTGCCAATGTACAGATCATCGGATCGCTGCCCATTGTGGAGGAGTGATTGTTTCGCCTTGACGATAAAACTGTGAAAGCAGGCTAGTGTTGCCCTGCGACACCACCATCTGCTTTGCCCTGCGACACCACCATCTGCTGCGCAAGTGGCGGAAGATGTTGCTGCTGCCACGCTTGACATGCAGTCTTTTACACATCGAGCACAGCAGTCACTGCGACAGCCGCCACCGGCATGCTCATGAATTGTATGGCGGACCACTGGAAAGTTCTGCGCCATGCTGATGGTTCCCTTTAGTGTTACTGATTTGGTTGGTGGGACGCTTGGCGACCGCATCTCGAGAACAGAACTGAATCTGGCGTGAAGCTGTACATTGTACATTCTCTTCAATGTGGGGTATCCCGCCGCGTACGGCAAAGCAGATACCAGCTTGCAAACAATTGATGCCTTCGTCACGAATGACCAAGCAAGGCATTGTCAGTGATCATTAACATGTCTGAAAGAGAAATTAAAAGACTACAACATCAGGATTTGGAGAATATTGTACATGCACTCAAGAAAGTAATCACTGAAGCGATGATCCGCTTCCCTGGCAATGCATTCAGACCTCCCTGCAAAGTCCGAGCAAGTAACAGTTTGAAAAGGCATGTTGCAAGTCAGCTGCAGTGCATGGCCGAATCGCCCTGTCATCATCTGTAAGCATAGCTGTCCATTTAGCATTGCCATTTGGAAGCTGCCGGCAGCCACTCAGAATGGAACGGTAGTGGCCTGCCCAAGGATGCAATCCAGTGTGGAGAAGAACTGTCACGAGTCTGTATTTCAGCCACTTTACTTGCAGTCCTCGAGCACTCTCAAAGAGGGGCAGGTCAAAAGTTGCTCCAACCTCGAAAGAAAAGGGGGCTAAATCCTTGTTGACCGGCCTATGACTGTCTTTCTGAGACCATCGCTTTAGTTGAAAGAAGAGCACAATCGGAGCCTCGCGTAGAGCATGTGGGTAAGGTTGCATATGCCACTGTTGAATGCTCGCCTGCAAACCATG